TTAGTTAAGTAGGGAGAGTAATAGAGCCTGCCTTATGACATTTTTTTTAAGATTAAATGAGTAAAATATAAAGAGACTAATGCCATAGCTGACACTTAAGTTCTTTATGTTATATGCTGTGAAGTTGGAATCAACTCAGAACTGACCCTCCAGTAGATTTACAGAGGCTGTAAATTGCAGGGGAGAAGATTGTCCATCTTTCTCAGGGAAGCTGTTATCTTTGTAATTCATCTCTCTTCCCTCTGCCATGTCTGTGTTCCCGCCATTGTATATGAGGGCAGTCTTGGAATGCCCCAGGAATCCTGCTTCCAGACTCTACCATCTCCTGTGTGTCTCTTCTGGTCCCTGACTTCTTAGCTTATCTTACTTAACTACCACTTACTCTGGGAAACCTTTTCAAATAAGATTAATTGTTCCAGCCACAGCACCCAGGTAAAATCGTCAGATATACCAAATAACAATAGAGTTCCTGTTACCAAATTCAACGCGGGGTTAAATGTATAGATTATACTCCCAAATTTCGGCACCAAAATGTTACCTTGGGACGAGTGACCTGGATTTAACCTTCCTTGTCCAGGCAAATATTTGAGCTGGGTGGGAGATGCCAGGAGGCTCAGTACCACCAATGAGGCAACAGCAAGTGTACAGCAGTTTCACAGACTCTGAAAAGAACTGCTTTAGGTCTTAGAGCTCCAGAGAGTTTAACAGCTGCTAAATGTAGAAACATCCAAGCTACTGAGAAAGAAGGTGAGGAGAATGGAAGTCAAAGTAGAGGTAACTTATTAAGGATAAGAAAGTAAAGACAGAATGTGCCAGAGAAAGGAACAGGTCCCTCTCCAAAAGGAAAAGAGTAGAGTGGAGAGAATAAAGGTATTACAACAGTTTAGGTGTTGTTATAAACAGTTTACTTTTTAGGTCGAGCTCCATGCAACAAAGGTATCCAGGCTGATGGAATGATATTACAGGAGGTTTTCACTCCAGCCCACAGCTCGTGATGTCACTGAGGAGCTTCACATGTCTAAAATATGAATTATGCTGCTTCGGGAATGCTCTTTACTGCACATGTCAGCCTTCAAAATCCTTGGCAGCATTCTCGTAAAGCAACATGGGCATCTCCAGACTTTGGACTAGTTCCTGCCCTCTTATTTACTTTTTTAAAAACTTTTATATGGGCTCAGTCTGTGCTTTAATAGTATGACAAGGTTTAGCAGAAACTGCAGGGCATTTTTTTGTTGTTGTGTACCATAGAGTCGAAACCGACCCATACCTGACCCTCCAGTAGGTTTTCAGAGACAGGTAATTGCACGGGAGGAGATTGTCCATACTTCTGCTTTGCAGGGCATGTTTAATTTTCATTCAACTCTTGGCTCTCTCTGTGCTTTTGCCCCAAATTCTTTAGCTGCTACCTAACTTCTAACAGTTTCACAGTTAAATGTGGGAGTCAAAGAAGCAATAAATAACTTTTAATATGTTTAAATTGTATATCTGCAATATGTGCATTTCAGAAAAAGGAATAATTTTAAGTATACAAGCATGTACTGTGGACTATTTAAGGCATACTTACACTTGTTAAAAATGCATTCTCTGACATTCACATTTAACTGTGGTCCTTGTATTTAATTTGGCAACCTTATACCAACAATCTGTGGTAAGTCTTTAGTAAGTCGATCTGTGATAAGTGCTTTAATTAGCACTGATCAATAAGTGCTTTCTTGTTTCCCCCACTGAATTGTCAGCTCTGTGAGGGCAGTGTGCATGTTGTCTTTTCTTATTGGTTTACATAGCATCTAGTATCATAAATGAACCCAAACTGAGCTATCTGCCATCAAGTTGATTCCAACCTATAGGCTAGAGCAGAGGATACTCTGCTGTAGAGGACAGGATAGGAACCTTGTAGGAGAGGATGGAACTGCTCCAAAGAATTTCAAAGGCGTGAATATTTCACGGAAGCAAACTGCCTCATCTTTCTCCCTCACTGTGGCTGATGGAGTCAAACCACTGACCTTTCAGTTAGCAGCACAATGAATAATCCACTGTGCCATCAGGGCATCTTCTAGTATGACAAATTCAAAACCAAAACTAACTCACTGTCCCTGTGCTCCCTTTGGCAGCACATGTACTAAAATTGGAACAATACAGAGAAGATTAGCATGGCCCCCTCACAAGGATGACACGTAAAACTCACTGTCCCTGAATCAGTTGTGATTCATTGAGGCCGTATCAGACAGAGGAAAACTACTGCCTCATATGTAGGGTTTCTCAGGCTGTAAATCTTTAGAGAAGCAAAATGAAAATCTCAAAGCACCACTGCTCAGTGGATTGTGACTCATCCATTTGATGGTGACTCTCCATTGGATTTCTGACATGGTATATCTCTATGATTGCCAGTCTTTCTCCTGTGAACCAGATGATGGATTCAGTTACATTATGGCACTAAGCCACCAGGGCTCCTTTAGGGAAGCCAAGTGGCCATACATACTAATGTAGGCTGATTAGATATTGTAATGAAGTCATTAATTGTTGTTAGGTGATTCCAGTACGATTCATCATGATCTTGTGAACAGCAGATCTGAATCCTGTCTTATCCTGCGCCATCCTCATACTTCCAGACACACTAGAGCCCATTGCTGTAGTCACTGTGTCAACCCACCTAGTTGAAGGTCTTTCTCTCCTTCACCATCCCTTCACCCTTCCAAGCACAATGTCCCTTTACAAAGAACAGCTTCTCTTAGCAACATGCCCAAAGTATGTCACACAAACCTGCCATCCTTGCTTCCAAGCATTTTGGCTGCACCTACTCTATGACACATGGAATAGGAAAAGAAAAAAAAAGTCTGTGAATGATTGTATCAGAAATCAATATGATTTTAAAAATTTTCACTGTAATGTACTTTTGCGCACACACACGCACACACACACACACACACACACACACACACACACACACACATTCATACATGTACTGATGGTAACCCAGAGCTCAGGGACCAGCTATGGAGGTGACTAACTACAGACCTCCTACTCAGGAAAGTTCACAAGGAGATAAAGTGATACAACTGTTTTTCAGAATATCTCGATATTGTTAACTGCCCAATGACAGCTTTAAGGTCATTATTAATATTGAAAGGGACTGTGAGTTTTCACATCTATTTCTCTTGCTCTTTAAGACCCAGATTTAACAGAGGAGGAAAAGGAGACTCAGGTAAGTGGAATGCTTAAGATGAACAATAAATGGAAATGGCTTTTCATTCTTCCTGCTGTTTGACACAACTGGCTCACCCACCTGAAGGATTGGAATCCTTAAGACTCTTCCTAGACACCCACATTGCTGCTCCAGGAAGAGGCTGGCTATCTAACCCAACCTCCACCCAATAAAGTCCAACACTTTTAACCAACGGTCTTTCCACAAATAATCTGAGAGGTATTTAGGTTAGAATCACCTGTGTAACTAAGAATTACCTGCGCAGGTAAGAATCACCTTTGCTGTTGTTATGTACCATCTAGCTGCCTGCGACTCATAGCGACCCTAAGTACAAGAATGACCTAGAAAGGGTTTTCTTATGTTACACTCTTTAAGTCAAGAAACTCAAAAGCTTGCAAAGAAAATAAAAGTAGCGTCAGGGACCAGGAACCAGTACGTTCTTTCATTTGTCTCTCTAGCTGACTCCATTAAACTTTCACTCCACCCTCACTATATTTCTGAAGAGGGAAGTCTGCCCTTTCATTCCATACACTTGTCAGCAGCTTTCTCCTAAAACTTGGGGAGAATGGCTGCTCCTGCACCTGAGAATGTCAGTTCTTGGAGCACCTCTGAAAATTTCCCCAGGCTGAGAGGGCACCTGGGCAAAAATCTACAATGTTGTTTGGGGCTCTTCTGGCCCACCACTTTCTCCTGTCAGAGCTGCAGTTCTAAAAGGTCAGGACCCCTTCAAAGCTTCCCTCAGGCCAGAGAAGGACTGCAGGTTCTATCAGGACAGGTCTTTCTGCACTGACCCAGGGGCGCCTGGAGGAAACTGCACCTGCCATACCACCTCTCCATATCCCACTCTAATTCTGAGCTGCCCATCCCAAAGGAGTGGAAATTAATCCAAGCGAGAAATCTCAAAGACAAGGCCAAAAGCCGAGGCCTCTCCAAAGCTAATAAACAAAAGAGGCTGCGATTAATATTAGAACCTCCAACCTCTGCAGCCTCCTTTGGTTTAGCTTGGGGCAGAATGAACAGGAGAAAAGTATTACATGATTGTCGACTTGCTGTTTGAGGTTTGATGAGCGATGTTCCCTATTGCTGTGAGCACTATGGCCTCGCTTTCTGGACTACTACTTGGATATACAGTGGCCCAAACAAAAGTCAGAAACACAATTGATTTGAAAGCACAGCTAATATGCCGTCTGGGTCACTGAATTAAACTTTTTTTCCTGTGCTGGTTGAATGCAAGCCAGAACTTTAGCTGAGAGTTCAGAAGAGGATCTTTACAAAATTACCGACTTGGATTGGAGCCCGCATGGAAAGTGCTGGCCTGTGTCAAGACCATCTGGTCCAGACCTGGGGGAATTCCCCCTGGGAGAACGTCTTTACCCTGTGAGGGCGAGCCTGCAGCTGCGCCTCTGGCTCACCTGACAGCGCAGCCGCCGCGCTCCTTCCCCGCGCCCGCGCGCTAGGCTCCCGCCACGGCCGGGAGCTCCGGTTGCCCCAGGAACCAGGACGCGCACGGGAGGCGGACGCTTGGCGCGGGCTGAGGCCCTCCTCCTATGTGCGGGCGTCGGGAGAGTCTTACTGCGAGGCCGCCCGCTAGGCAGTTCTTTAGCGGAGAAAGCGCGCTTCTCGAGCCGCTCTGCGCTCAGCCAGTGAGAGGCCAGGGGGTGTGGTGGAAGGAAGGGGGCAGTCCACTACTTAGGCCCTCGCTGGCGGCGAGGCCGCGTCTTTTTTGCACCCTGGCGCGCTATCGTATCCTGTCGCAGCCGGTGATTTGGGGGCAGTAGCGCGGCCTCCAGGCTGCACCATGGTGACCTCCTGCTCCACCAGCCCCGCGAGCCCCGTCGCCCGGGCCAGGGGCCGGGACAACGACCAGAACCTCCGCGCCCCGATAAAGAAGAGCCGGCGCCTGCGTCTCCGAAGGAAGCAATTGCTGCAGCCCCTGTGTTCGCGCCCGCTTCCTGGAGACTCAGGCATTTGCGACCTGTTCGAGTCGCCCAGTTCGGGCTCGGACGGCACAGACAGCCCCGCGGCATCAGCGTCCCGGGGCTCCAGCCCCTGGCTTGGCTCTGCCCAGCAGTGGGCACAGCTAGACCTGCTGACCTTCCGCGACTATGGCCAGAGCTGCTACATCTTCCACAAGGCCCGGGAGAGCCACTTCCACCCGCAGGAACCGCTGGCTCAGCAGCCACAAGTGAGGCGCAGGCGGAGTCCGCTCCCCGCCGCCACCCTCCTCTCCGTGGCTCTTTACTTTCTCGCTGTCTGTCCCCCCTGTGGCATCCACTCAGCCCCCGCTGGCGCCTGCCCAGGTCTCACCCCTATCCTGACTGGGAAAGGGGCCTTGGGTTTGTTTTACAGATGGAGCCAAGTGGGTTTTAAATGTTCTACCCGAAGTCTCCAAACTGTTTAGGTTGAGAGCGCGGTAGAATGCAGAAATGAGGGCTCCAAACGATCTCCAGGGTGTTAATCCTGAGCGTGGTGTTGTATGTAGGTTGAATTTGGTTTGGGTTTTTTTTTTTCCTATCTGCAAAATGGAACCCCACCGAATCGCTGAAAGAAGGACCCAAGATAACGCGTCTACTACTCGGGGCCAAGCGCAGGCCAGTGCTCTTTAGACTCCAGCGCTGCCCGCACGCCTCCCAGTTTCCAGTGCATTCGTTTGCTTTCCCCCCTTCTTTCTCCAGTCCTCTTCCCTGGAACTCGCCTAGGCTCTCCTGCAGTTCCCTCTCCCTCCGCCCTGAACTCAGCCTGGGCACCTTCCCATTCCCTTCCCGCCAGGTGACTGCGGAATCCCGCTGTAAGCTGCTCAGCTGGCTGATTCCCGTGCATCGCCAGTTCGGCCTTTCCTTCGAGTCGCTGTGCTTGACGGTGAACACCCTGGACCGGTTCCTCGCCACCACACCAGTGGCTTCAGATTGCTTCCAGCTGCTAGGAGTCACGTCTCTACTCATCGCTTGCAAACAGGTATCGGAATGTCCACGGGCAGCCAGACCCCTGCCTACGCTCCTCTTCTGGCTCTCCAATGGGCAGCGCTAAATTCCTTGAATCCATTTTGGCCGACGTTATCAATCCTCTACCTCCCACAGCCTTAGCCTCACAAGTCTCGCACAAACTAACAACCCTCTCTTGCAACTTCCAAAGAAATACAGTCTCTAACAGGTTTTTTTAACACCCCATTTCCAGTCCCAAATCAGGTTTTGTTTTTGTTTTTCCTGTCCGTTAAACTTTCCCAGGTGATGGAAGGCTAGCAGGAGAGAGGCAGAGTCGAACAGAACAGTCTGGCTGCGAGGGGTTAAGGGAGGTCCCTGTTCTCCCCTGGATTTAAACTGAGCTTTTGTGTCCTGGAAGCCGCGCCGAGCCGCTGAACGCGCCCTGTGTTGCAGGTGGAGGTGCACCCGCCGCGCGTGAAGCAGCTCCTGGCGCTGTGCTGTGGCGCCTTCTCGCGGCAGCAACTCTGCAACCTCGAGTGCATCGTGCTGCATAAACTGCACTTCAGCCTGGGCGCGCCCACCATCAGCTTCTTCCTGGAGCATTACACGCACGCGCGCGTGGACGAAGGGCAAATCGAGGTCTCCCAAGCTCTGGAGTCGCAAGCCCTGGCTCAGGTGGTGGCGGAGCTGAGCCTAGCGGACTATGCCTTTACCAGCTACGCCCCCTCCCTGCTGGCCATCTGCTGTCTGGCGCTGGCTGACCGCCTGCTGCGGCTCCCGAGCCCAGTGGACCTGCTCCTGGGCGGGCACCCTGAAGCGGCGCTGCGGGAATGCCTGGACAAGCTGCAGCTGCTGGTGACCATCAATGAAACCTCCCTGACGCATATGCTGCCTTTCCAGATCTTTGAGAAGTGCAGCCTGTCCCCCAGCTTAAAATAAAGCAAATCTTGGTCTCCTTTCTCGGACCAGGCTGGTCCACAAAGCAAGTTCAAGACTCTTGATGGTCTGCAGGTCATCCTGCAGGTTGTAAATAGTGTACAATAGCGTGTCCTTTATTTTGCTGAGAGCCAACTCACTTCTCAAATAAATAGGCTGCTCTTCATGGTTTGTCTGTTGTTAATATTCATCTGTCTGCTGGGGATAGGAGAGTCAACAAAGACCAAGGTTCTTAGCTGGGTCTGCTCTGTGCTTAGCATCTCTCTTCCAGTACGCCCCAAGTTGGGTGAGGTCCTAGATAGCCTGGATCCAGTGATGGGGGTGGGTGGGAGGAGGGGAGCCAGGGTCCTTGCCTGTTAGGAGACTGAGAACCATGTCTGCCTGGCTTCCAAAGGATAGGGTTAGAGTCCTCAGGAGTCTATGTTCTCCAGAAGGGCGAGGGAATGCATGAGGAGGGGAGAAGAGAGAACAAAAGACCATAATAGAGAATCCCTGTATACAATTCACAGATGTTGGAAATGAAAGTTTTGCAGGTGGTATGACCATTTCTCAAGTTGAGCCCATATATCCTTCAATCTCATGGTTCATCCTTACACAGTGCCACCTGTAAACCCAAATGAATAATGGTTTAATAGTGATAATGGTTGATATTGAGTGGAGTTCTGGTGGCTTAGTAGTAAGGAGTTGTGCTGCCAACTAAAAGGCATGAGGTTCAAATCCCCCCAGCTGCTCCATGGGAGAAAGATTGGCAATCTCCTACCCTGCAATTAACTGCCTCTGTAAACCCACTGGAAAGTCAGCTATGCATCGTTTCCAGTTTGATGATACATAAAACAGTTGTTGACCATATGCCAAGAACTGCCTGTGCTCCATATTTCAGTCCTCCCAATCCTTCTATGAGGTTAAAGCATCCTGGTTTTCAAAAGAGGACATCAGGGATATCAGCCAGGAAGTAGATTTGAAAGGCAAACAAGACCACACAGTCCTCCTTTAGCCAACCTGCTAAATGTCCGCACGCGGATTTCTATATAGTCTCATTAACGAATTTACCACCTCCTGGCATAGAATCCTGACAAGTTAGTTCCTCAGCATCATCTTATTTGTGGAGCCCACCACAACCTTCTAGTTTCTTCACAGGACTTGTTTTAAAGATAACTCCTTAAGAGGTGAGATTGAGGCTTGCTGGAGGTCTGTGGCTCCAAGAGGTATCGCCCACTGCCATGAACCTGCAGCCCTATTGTGAAGTCTGTGACAGGTGATCACTATACTTCACTAAAACATTCACATTTTCATTCCCAGGTTTCTGTTCTACATTCCAACTTTCAAAGGTTTTCTTGTTTACCTCCAGCAAATGTCTACCTCTCTGAGTCTTATATTCAGTACTATGGCTGAAAGAGGTTGTTATCAGGGAGTATAAAGTAGTAAATGAAACAAAGGGTTCTGGAGTCATTAGGTTTCTACACTTGGTGGCCTTAAAGTCACATCTCTAAATCGAAATGATAAACTAATGAACTCTGATGGCCAAGTGGAATGGAGCTGCACTGCTGGCTTGGGGGCATGTAGTTCCGATCCACCAGCTGTTCCACAAGAGAGAGATGGGGTATCTCCTGCCATGTGACTTACTGCCCCTGAAAACCTGCTGGATGGGTCAGCCATGAGTTCCTACTCAATGCTACACACCAACAAAGCCCAGTGGGAATAGTAGCAGTACCTTCCTTAGAGTTGGGCTATAGAAAGAATGATTTCCTTTTCAATCACCCAGTACTATTTTTGGCACATAGCAGGTCTCTAAGAAATAAGAAAAAAAGTCTTAACTAAAATATAAAACAAAGTATTATCAACTCAAATTCACTGTCATTAGTCGGAGTGACTTATAGCTGATACTTTAGTAGGTTTTCTTAGGCTGTAAATAACATAGTAGGAGAGTGAACATTTTTCTCCTGTGGAGCAGTAGTGGATTCGAACCACTAGAAAGGCTTGGTCTTTGAGTTAACAGTACAACTCACTACAGACTATAAACACCAGAGCGTCCCCCAAATACTGTAAGAATCTTAGTAAAAAACTTTAGGGGGTGGGAAGCAATGGTTTCCCACTGAATTCAGGATAAATAGAAAGTTACAATTAATACAGACTTAAAGAACTTTGCTTTCACTTATGTCCTCCAAGTGCCCCAGTGCCTATTCTGGAACCCTCTCACAGAGAACTTCCTGCCCTCCACTGGCATTGCTATTCTTAATTCTCCGGAAACTTCCTCTTCCTCCCCTTCTCTGGAATTGTTAAATGAAGATCACCAAGCTGGTTGGGGGAAAGCAGTTGTATTATGCTGCTTAGAAGAGAAAGATCATATTTGTCAGATAGCTTGTTTTGAGCCCTAACAGACCTGGAGACCCCAAGCTGACTGGTGAGGGGTCTGGGAGGGAGATTGTTCCTTATGCAAAAAGTGACTTTGGAAAAATTTTCACAAATTATCTATTGTTCACATGTATGTCCAATGCCTATGTTTTTCTTTCCCACTAGGGATTAATGAGTATTGGAAAAAATGAGTCTGTTCTGGAAATTCCATAATGGTTACTATATATAGAAATTCTCCCCAAAGTCAGCCAAAGATATCCTTGTTACTGTCACACAGGAAGTTATCGTGGATAGAGAGGTGTAGGTGGTCTGCCTACTGGCTGATCTACTCAGGAAATGGAAGTGCAAAACATCCATATGTGTCAAGCACCAGTCACTTTATATAAATACCTCTATTTGGCTTCACAGCAGCTCTACTGAAGTCTGTATTAGTGTTGTTTCTGAAGAACTGGAGCTGAGGTGAAATCAGGTTCTGATACTTACTGAATATTGTTCTAAAATTATTAGCTTTTAGAGCTTCACCACTAGCGTTATTCCACCAATGTAGCTGGCTAACCTCACTCTATCTTTTTCCATATCTGTAAAGTGGGTCAGACAGGGTCTCTAAGCTTATTCCAGCTCTACCTTTGGGTTGCTTTCCATCACTGCTTGTTGTTGTGTGTGTCATCGAGTTCATAGATACCCTATGAACAATGGATCTGAGAACTACATCCCAAAGTATGTGAGAGGGAACTTCAAAATCCTTGCCTCTAAGGAGCAGCTCGGTTTCACCCTCTCCAGGCTGTTTGTTCTTTTGGCAGTCCATGGAATGGTTAATACTCTTCTCCAGCACCACAACCTCAAAGGCATAAGTTCTTTTCATCATCATTATTATTATTATTATTAATTTTTTAATGTGTGTACCATCAAATTGGATCTGACTGGTACAGGAGGTGATTGTTCCTCCTTCAGCAGAGCATCTGGTGGATTTGAACCACTCACCTCTGGGACTGCAGTACAGTTTCCTGCCACTAGGCCACCAGAGCTCCCCTATTATTATTAATTGTAATGAAAGTTTACAGAGACTTAGGGTTTCCAGTGATTCGCTGTTGCACTTCTCTCCCTGCCCAACCCCTCCCTCCAAAGGCATCAATTCTTCATCTTTCACCTTTAGTCATTGTTCAGCTCTCTGATGCATAGCAAGTAACTGGGAAGACTATGGCTTGGATCAGGTGCACCTTAGTCTCCAGACTGATATTTTTTATCTTTAGCACTCTAATAAAAAAAGATGATTAGGACAATTTAAAAGAGAATCTTTCATTATTACTAAGTATTATTGTCGATATGTATGGTCAAGTCACCTGGCATTCATAGCAACCCTACATACAACAGCTCTGAAATCTGCCCTGTCCTGAATCTGTCTCACTGACTCCAAAACAGCTAACCCCATTACCCCAGTGACTGCATCAATCCATCTCGTCTGGGGTATTCCACTCCTGCACTGTCCCTCCACCATTCCAAGCATGATGTTTTTCTCCAAGGACTGATCCCTCATGGCCTGGCCGCGTGCCCAAATTATGTGAGAAGGAGCTTCTAAATCCTTTCCTCCAAGGAAAAACTTGGTTTCATTCCCTCCAAAAGAGTCCTATTTGTTCTCCTGGCTGTCCATGGTATGTTCAATACTCTTCTCCAGCACCACAACTCAAAGGCATCGATTCTTCTTCTGTCATGTTTACTCACTGTCCAGTTATCTGATGCATAGCAAGTAATTGTGAACACCATGGCCTAGATCAGGCGCACCTTAGTCTCTAGAATGACACCGTTGCTTCTACTGATTTCCCAGTGCAACAAATAGGTGCAAATGAGAAGAATATAGATTTAATTTCTGCCTATTGTTTCAGGTAGTTTGAAATAGGTGGGAGAGCGACCCTGAGAGAGATGTCTCCTTTACAAGGGATGTGGAGAAGCTTTGAGTTTGCGAAGGGCAGCCAGGCTGCTGCCTAGCCAGTGAGCTCAGCGGTGCAGAGTCACAAACCCTTAAATGGGTAGCTGAGGTCCCAGAGGGTGGGGCAAAATAGAGATGAAAGTTTTAAGAGTTTAGGAGCTGTCCACTTGGAGATTTCTGAGACTGGAGGGGGGTTTGTGGTTGTCCTTTCCCCCCCTCCCCCCTTCTTCTTCTCTTAGGTGACCTTCTAAGGAAAGTACGGCCCGCGGAGATAGGGCTGCGGGGCGGACCTTAGGTTTCAGATCAGGTGGGAACAAATGGACATTTGGGAGATAGGTAAGGAAAGAGGATTTGGGGAAAAGGCATCTGTGTTACTCTGGGGAGTCCCTCTGGAAACTCTACCTCCCCACCAAATTCTGCAGAGCAGAGGAAACTCCGAAGTCTGACTGGCTAGTGTGGTTCCACAGTTTTGTGCTTTGCAACTGGAATGTGGAAAGGAAATAAGAATCGTGGACGAGTCCGCCCGGCCGATAAAGGGAGGCGGTCCCAGTGCTGGGCACGGGTGGGCCTGGCCCGCCCTCCTTCCTGCCGCCCCGCTGGCGCAGTCTGGAGGCGGCGGCGCCAACTCTCCCCGAAAGGGCGCTGGCGGGCCGGGTCCCCGCGCTCGCGGCTCCCGGGGGAAGCGGCGTTGCCAGGTTGGGTTTAACGCCTCCGCCCGCGCGCAGATTGTCCGGAGCTGAAGGCGCCACCTCCGGCGCGAGCCGCCCCTCCCGCGCCGCGGTCCCCGCGCTCCTCCCCGCCCGCGGCTCCTCCCCGGCCACGCGCCGCCACACGGGAGCCGGCACCTTAAGCCTGGCCCGGGGCTCCCGGACCAAAGCTCGCCGAGGCAGCATGCAGGCGTGTGGAGGTGGCGCGGCGGGACGCCGGGCCTTCGACAGCATATGCCCCAACAGGATGAGAGAGCTAGCCAGCCGGCCCGTGGGCAAACCTGGGAAGCTGGAGAGGAAGGTGGGACCGGGGCCAGGACCGGGCAGGGTCGGTACGCGCCGGGCGCGGGGCTCGCAACGCTCACTGTTTCTATTCCTCGCTAGCTCGCTCCTCCACGCACGTTCTTCTCCGGCTGCAGCGTCGCCAGCCGGGTGTCAGTGTACGAGGATCCGGAAGATGCGGTACCCCCTGCGCTCCCAGGTGAGCCGGGTGGCCCCCGCGCGTCCTCCGGGGATCCCTGCGCCGGGTGGGGGCGGCGCGCATGGCTCAGACAGAGCTTCTGTCCCTCTGATTCCGATGCCTAAGCGGGGGTCCCAGTGGCGAGCACTGGCCGGGACACCCAGGGCTCTCCGGACGCGTGTTTCCCGGTCTCCCTGCGCAGCCCTCACCACCATAGACCTGCAGGACCTCGCCGACTGCTCCTCTCTGCTCGGACCCGACGTGCCGCCTAGTGGTAACCCCGCTGCCTCGCAGGTACCGCTCTTCCCTCTGCCCTCACCACTTTCATACTTAACCTACTTAATGCGGTGGAGTCAGAAGCTCTGCTACCTCTTATAATAATAGTTCAGTCTCTGACTTCATTCCTTTTTGTGACGAATTAGCTCCAACACAGTGCACAGACACGCCTGGCTGGTGGCAGAAGCGGCATGAAGAAATTTGGTGCTTGGGAATCCGAAATGCACTTCCTTCATAGTAGTATGTTAACTCTAAATCACAGGGGAGGAGATTGCTCATCCTTCTGAACCCGAGCAACAGTTGGGGCATTCGAATTGTGTATCTTGAGGTCAGCAGTTCAACTCCTTACTAAGCCTCCAGAGCACCCTAATATGTTAAGGTGACTGCTCTCCAGGACTTTCTTTTTTTTTTTTTATTTTTTAAAGGCAAATCTCATTTTATTGTGCTTCACAGACACTGTGTTTTTGTTTTGTTTTACCAACTGAAAGTTTGTGGTAACACTCCATCAATCAAGTCTGTCAGTACTCTTCCCAACAGCCCATGCTCACTTTGAGCCTCTGTGTCATATTTTGGCAATTCTTACAATATTTCAGACAGATTGCTTTTGCAATTTTAAATATACAACCCACGCACTGCCGTTGAGTCAGGTCCAACTTAGCAACTCTCAGTTGGGTTTCTGAGGCTGTAAATCTTAATGGAGGAGACGAATGCACTACAGTGTAGTGTAGACATAAATTTTATATGCACTGGGAAACCCAAACGTTCATGTGACCAGCTTCACTGCAGTGGTCTGGAAATGTCTCCAAGATAGGTTATTTTTTTTTTTTTTACCTTTCCCAAAATTTTTTTTCTATAATTATATTTTATTAATTTTAATAAACATTTACAGAGATTTTGGGTTTCCATTCATTCATTGTTGCACTATTCTCTCTACCCTCCTCCCAGTTTGTTCTTGTCCAAATGCCACAGTGCTTGTCAAAGCCAGTTCTGATTAATCTTCTTTGTCAGTGTGTCCTTTGCCATTCCCTATCACTCCTCCCTGAGAGAGACTTCACCCTGAGTCATAAGGAAAAGGGGATGGCGTATTCTCTTAGCTACTTCCAGCTGAAAAGGGACGCTGTGGCTTTCAGGGTGAAGATCTTCTCTCACTACTCTAAAGGGCCCCTTTGGCAGTAGGAAACACATAGACTATTATGGAGATTGATTTTGGAATTTAGATGCACTCTTATTGATTGTGCTTCGCCGTACATGTTCATATCCTTGAAGATGTATCATGGGGGTGTTGCAACCTAGAAGACACAAATTTGACTAACAAGTTATAAGTACATGAGTCAAAAATTATGGAAAAGTAAAAGAAAAGATTCTTTCATTGTAAAACAATGAAAGAATCTCCAGGACTTTCTTGATAAAGCTGGAGGGTTGGCTGCTTTCCCAATGCCCCCTCTCACCCCCACGACGTATCAGGACTGATCATGCTCCTTGAGGCAGAGAAAGATGGCGATGGGTAGGAAATTAGAAGCCTGTCTCACTTATGGTTTATGGAGCGCCTAAAAGTGTTGGAGATTGTTCCAATCCACATGATGCGTGTTAGGTCTAGCTTTCTGGCACATGTGCTGGACCATGAGGTCTACAAGGACAGAGTCTCCAGAAGATGTGAACATTCATGAGGGCCTGAGGTGGGTGATGGAGCAAAGATTCCAAGTCTCCTCAGGGTTAAGGATGTCATAGAACATTAAAGTTGAACCCCTGGTGAGTCAGGACAAATGGCTGCTGAGAGCAGAGATTGTTAAAGCAAGAGGTAGGAGTGGGTATTGCCCAGCAGAGATCTTCTTAGATCTAGAGCCTCAAATGAAGGAAGGCCATCCTTGAGCATCTTTCAACTTTCAGCTGATCCAGGGGACTGGTTCACTCCATCATACTTGCTTCTTTATTTGCAAGTAGCAAAACCCCAGCAGGCTCTTATTGAATGCTTGCTTAAGTATATAGAATTTCGGTTTGACACTAGACTTTTTGCTGTTGCAGTTGAAGGGCCAGATTTTTATCTTATTAGGAAGTTGAGATTCAAAGATGCTTGACAGTGCTCATAGCAGGTGAAATGGAAGGTCTAAGGTTTTGGTTGTTTCTCAGGAGGAAGCAAGGGCCGATGGGCAGAGACTGACCTTTAAGAGAATATCCCTAAGAGAGATGATGGATTGGTGAACACTTTGATCATAATTCCCAGCCCCCTGTTTATTCGGGATAATAGATAGAGAGGAAGTGTTCAAGATCCAGGATGTGTCAATATGAAGGATAACATCAGTTGAAAACATTTCCTGAGCCCCATGGCTGTGCTTGCCTCCTACATCTTCATGATAAATAAGGCCTTTTCCCTTCTGTGGGAGACTAGCAGCCCATGGAGAATGAGTCTCATTTGTGACCCCTGAAGCGAGGGCAGGACTTGTGCCTCATAGATTGTCTGAGTCCCCCAGTTTTTCCTTTCTGAATCACTCCTCCATTTACCCTCAGCTCCCCACTTGTGTTAGGGGAATGGTGAACTTGTCTGCTCTTTAGAGTCTGAGTTGTTGTGCGCCGTTGAGTGGGAACTGACCCGTAGTTGACCCTCCAGCAGATTTTTCAGAGGCAGTAATTACAAGGGAAGAGATTGCCCATCCTTCTCCCACAGTGCAGCTGGTGGATTCATACTGAGCACCTTTGGTATTGCAATGTAAATTCTTACCACTAAGCCACCAGAGCTTCCTTCCTTATTCAATATATTTTAATAGTAGAGAAGAGATGCTGAGAGAGTAGTAGGATTGACACAAAAGAACGAATCCATAACAGTGAAATATCACTGCAGCTGGTAAAATGAATGTTTTTAATGGGAGCATGGCATTGGATGCATTCCTCACACCTTGCCCTTTTGGGAAACTCCTTTCCCCTTCCCAGTGCAGTTTTTAGTGGAAGCCAGGCTCTTAAGTAAGAGATAAACACAGAGACAATGAGGTGTGGAGGAGATTGAAATAGATGCTGATCTACTCGGACAGGAACTGTGAAGTTACTCTCTCTAGCTGGGTTACTTTGGGACAATGCAATTCCCCTGAGTTCAGATTCTCCATCCAAGAAAGTTAACTTTCCAGCCCTGAAAAACTTTCCTTGACTACTGTGAAAGCTAGCTGAGACCGTCAATGTAAAAGGATTTTGTCCACGTATTAAGGGAATCTAAAGAGGCTCTTCTCATTTGCTTCTTCTGCACCCAGACACAAAGCAGGAAGGTACGGGAACATCCAGGTCAAGGTGCTGGAGGCACATCAGCCTGGAAGGAAAAGTCAGCTTTCCTCCCTTCCTCCATCCCCAGCACCCAGGAATCTAAGAAGTAGGGGCCATCTGTACTGGTTGAGAAACAGCAGCACTTTCTTTAGCATTCCTGACCTCTCAAATATAGTCTAGTTTTCTCCTAACTTACTGCTTTGGAGAACCCTACATGCTGCCAGGTTTGGTGGGGGGAGTGCTCCTACTCCTCCTTCTCTGTCCTACAAATGATGGTACCCTACTAAGTCTGTGTTCAGATTCAGTCCACAGGAGGGTTTCCTTTTTCCAGAAGCAGCTGGTTGGCTCCTACTCAGCCAGTGAGATGGTGAGCAAGGCCATGTGAGGGGCCAGACCAGAGCATGTGGTGCTGGCTCTGTGCTTGCTGCTCCCCATCACAGCGGTGCAAGTCTGCTGGCTTCTGCATCTGGAGGCAGCTTTGGTTTGCAGATGCAAGAGCTTCTACTGCAGACACAAGTGTGTGCCGATCTGCAGCTGAGCAGGGGAGGGCCTCCGTCTTTCTATGACGCATTCTGCACTGGTTAGACTCTCCGTGTGAACCGGTTTACCCCTCTGGTTTATTTCAGAGACAAACTCTACAAGAGGAGCCAGATTTCGTTCAGCTGCGGAATTTCAGAGACACAGTAGATTTCATTGCAGGCAAGTCCGGTCTCCTCACAGTTAGGCAACAGCGGGGATGTTGAAATAGTAAGTCACCCAGCTGTCAGGGACTGGCCACACCCTCTTCCTACTGAGGTGAAGGTGAAAGGGCTAGATCTGAAGAGTAATCGGTTTGCCAGGGGACAGGAAGCCCCTGCTGAGAGGAGTTGGGGGAGCAGAGAAGTGATAAAGAATAGGGAAAAGAGCAAGGGCCCCAGTGTGACTCTTCTAGGTCCATTCAAATTTGCCCTGGCCACCTTGAAAAGCTCAGTTCGGGTCAGCTCAATAAATAAATATTAAATGTCTGCTGTGTGTGCACAGGGAGGGGAAGGAGGGAACATGGGGTGAAGGGTGTCATACACAAGAAATATACCCCTATAGACTCTGGTTAGCATGCTTATCTTTTTTTTTTTTTTTAGCTGTTGCAAAAAGCTTTATTGTTTCATTTGGTCCAAGGCGAGCATGCTTATCTTGATATAGAACCCAAGCATGCCATTTCTCCTCAGGCAGAGCACCTGCCGTAGATAGTCAACTCAGCTCAGGGTTTTTTCCTCCCAGATTCGTCTTCTTTGATGTCATCTCCCTTGGCCGGCGGAGACTTCCCTTTCTCACCCTGTGATGTGTCTCCATTTGGAGTCTGCTTCTCCCCGCCCCTAGACCCAATGGACCTGCAGTCATCACCGCTGTGTCCTCCAGACATCTCCCCACCAGAGCAGTACTGGAAAGAGGTGGCTGACCAGAATCAGAGGGCGCTGGGGAACGCGCTTGTGGAGAATAATCAAGTAGGTGGCAGGGACAGGGGGAGAGGTAGGTGCCAGGGTACAGGTGTGTCCCTGCGGAAGTCAGAACCAGTCGACCTGCTAGTGACTGTTGTTGTTGTGTACTCTAGAGTCGAAATCCATCCATAGCTATTCCTCCAGCTGGTTTTCAGAGATTGCCCACCTGGCTCCCTAGGCGCAACTGATGGATTAGAACCGTGTACCTTTGGGATTGCAGCACAGCTTCTTACTACTAGCCCAGCTAGTAACTGAGGAAGTTGCTAATGCTCCAGTGACTGTGTTACAGTTTCCATTGCACTTAGAATAAAGTGCATTAGTAGAGTTTTACCAGCATCACCAGTAATATTTGAGAACTTTCTATGTGCCTGGATCTGCATTTATTAATTTGCTTTCCACTCTCCCTTGATACTCAAAACCGCCTTTGGAGGTTGGGCTTTTTTTCAGTTAAGGAAAAAAAGGCATATGAAGATTGACCTTCACATCTAAGAGGGCAAATTTGGACTAGAACCTAGGTTACTTAATGTCCAAAACAATGATTAATATGCATTTTTCCAAAATAAAGTGATGTTGTTGTTGTTATGTGCCATCGAGTCGTTTGTGACTCATAGCGACTCTATGTACATCAGCTCTAAACTCTGCTCTGCCCTATGCCAATCGCACTGCCTCTGACACACCTATCCTGATTACCCCAGTCACTGAATCAATCCACCTCATAGAGGGTCTTCCCCTCCTGCGCTGTCCCTCCACCCTACAGCATGATGTCCAAGGACCGGACCCTCCTTACAACATGTCCAAAGTATGTCAGATGAAGCCCCAGAATCCTTGCCTCCAAGGAGCAGCCTGGTTTAACCCTCTCCTGGATGAATCTGTTTGTTTTCTTAGCAATCCATGGTACACTCAATTCTCTTCTCTTGTACCACAGCTCAAAGGTACCAGTTCTACTTCTATCCTCCCTAGTCATTGTCCAACTCTCTGATGCATAATAAGTGATTGCAAAGAACATGGCCTGTATCAGACGCACCTTAGTCTCCAGAGAGACACCATTACTCTTCAGTACTTTGGAGAGGTCCCTAACAGCAGACTTTCCCATCGCTGCTGGTGAAATAAAGTGATGCATTTCAAAATAATCAAGCCAAGAAAATGAATGATGATTTTTAAATGTCCGTGGGCCCCCAATTCCTGAGGTAATGTTAGGAGCCAGGTTTATTTCATGAACGCTCAGAGGGCAGCCAGCACGATGGCGAGCGGCCTTGAGTGTTTGGGTCTTACCTCCCTGCAGCTGCACGTGACTTTGACCCAGAAGCAGGAGGAGATCGCCTCACTCAAAGAGCGGAACGTGCAGCTGAAGGAACTAGCCAGCCGGACCCGGCACCTGGCCTCGGTACTGGATGTAAGTGAGGCGAGGGCGTGTAGGACCGACCCTACAGGACTTCCCAAGGGTTCCTGTGTACGTTGTAGCCTTTTGCCAGTGTTGGGACTTGGCGGGACAGAACTCGGGGTGGGATTTTTGCTGGGGCGAAACGGGCGAACCACTGAGAGTTTGCTGATCCACCTGAAGGGGGCGCGTCAACTGGGTCTGAGCTTTGCGTAGTGTCCTTGGGTGGCCTTTGGGTACCCTCGACCGAGGCCCTCTCCTTCACGCATTCCATGGCACCTTTTCCGCTCTCCACCCCTTTTATCAGAAACTGATGATCACACAGTCCCGGGACTGCCAGGTGGCCACGGAGCCTTTCCTGCTCAGGGCGACAGCCAAAAGGAGCCTGGAGGAGCTGTTCAGCGCCACGGGCCAGGACTGCGCCGAAGTGGACGCGGTCCTGCGAGAGCTTTCCCAGCGTTGTGATGAAGCCCTGAAGAACCACGACCCTAAACGGCCGCGGCTACAGCCGGAGCCCGCGAGCACGGCTGGCCGGCCTGGGAACCTGCACGGCGCCTTCCGAGGGCTGCGGACCGACTGCAGCCAGAGCGCGCTGAACCTGAGCCAAAGCGAGCTGGAAGATGGCTCATTCAGCACGCCCATCCGCAGCCACGGCACCATCCGCACCCTCGCCTTCCCCCAGGGCAACGCCTTCACCATCCGGACAGCCAATGGGGGTTACAAGTTCCGCTGGGTCCCCAGCTGAACTGGGATGCAGTCCCACGAAAAACTTTTCATTAATATTCCAACTGAGACGCCTGGCGCGGCGTAAAAGGAAGTGCTTCCTGAACCTGCCTAATCCAAAGAAGACCTTCTGCAGGGCAAATGCCACCCTGCGGACTTGTTTCTTGATCCTGCCCAGTGTTCAAAATGTTGGTGCAAAGCCCTTCCTCTTTCTTGGGAGCTAAGGTGGCCTAGTTGGCAGAGAGTTGCATTACTAAATGTAAGGAGGGCTGTGCGCATCCACCAGCCTCTCTGCGAAGAAAAGACGGGCAGTCTTCTCACATGTCATTTACAGTTTTGGAAAACCCGCTGGAGGGTCAATTAAGGAGTTGTTTCCAACTCAGTGGCAATCGGTTTGAGAGCCCCCCCCTTCACTGCAAAAGGTGCACAGAGTCCATTTTTGAAGTATTTCTTCTTAGCAGTTTTGTATAACATGCTTTTAGACCTTGTGGTGTTAGGTCATGTCAAGATTACTAAAACACATAGCCACCGTATGAATGATGGATCTGAACGCTGCTCTGTGCCATCCTCATGAACTCTGCCACACTTCAGCCCGTTGTTACAGTCACCGTGTCAGTCCATCTAACTGTAGGTCTTCCTCTCCTTTGCTGACTAGTTTTGTGCCATTAAGTCAACTAAGACTCCCTATAAACGATAGATCTGAACCTGGCCCTATCTGCTCCATCCTGATGATCTCTGTCATGTCCAAGCCCGTTACAGGCACTATAGCTGCATGATAGATTATTTGGTTACTTATATGTGTTGTCTGTGGTGGTGTAGTCTTAGGGAGTGAAGCTGATAGATTAAAGGTCACATCTTTCTGGCAGTTCAAATGAATCCACCAGGGACTCAAGAAAAAGATGGCAGTCTCTTATGTGATTTACAACCCCCCAAAAACTCAGTGCAGGGTCAGCTATGAGTTGCTTCCAGCAAATGAGAAGAAAAAGGAAGCTCCTAATTGTTATGTACTTTTCCTTAATAGGGGCCATTATTAGAAACTTTCAATTGCTTTTTCATTAGTCATTCACATACTGAACTCAGAAACAAGGTCTCTGGATGATTTTCCCCTCAACATATCATTCAACTTCCCCTATGCTAGAAGGACAACTAATTTGGTTCTCATTGAAAACTCTGCATGTTTAACTGCCAGAATCAATGAAATAGAAAACACTGCACGTTCTTAGAGGAAATGAACAATTTTTTTTAAAAAAGGTGCTAGCATATTTCTTTTAAATGATCCTTCATATAATTCTGTTAACACTTATGGTAAATATTATAGCAATTACAGATAGTCTTAAGCGCAAACCACTTAAGTAAAAACCACTAGAAACACAATTTTGTTAAAAACTGTATGTTGTCTTAAGAAAATGGCATATACCACATGGGGGAGTGTTTACACTTTTTTTGCCAGTAACCACAAAAATTCAGGGTACGAATTCTTGTCTTACATTTTGTGACCTGGTCTAAGAAAATTTGCATGTCATACAGCACCTTTACCTGGATTTTTGTTTTCTTTTTATCTGAGATTTCTATACTCTAGAAATTATGTGAGTAACATAGGTCAAGCAGTGATTTACCTTCATCATCTCCCATAGTTCTGCACATGAGGACTCCTTGCATTTAGGGAAGTATCTTGGGCAAGTATACAGTATTACTGGCTCTGCTGAGTAGAGCTATCAGGAAACAGGTGCCCTGAGCAAGGTGGCTGAACCAGCTCCTCCAGTTTGACATGTGTATCTGTACAGATCCTATTTCCTCATAATTCAGCTAATAAGTGAATGCTTTAAAATTACAGTGCATAGTCCAGAATGTCGTCCCTTCCCCCCTTAGATAAAATAAAAGTTACTATATTGAAGGAGCTAGAGAAGAAAAGAAAAACCCTATCTTGAAGAACTATTGATATGTCAAAAACAGTTCTTCTCCACTTCTTAATTACTGTTGTCAGGCCCAGTCAAGTTGATTCCAGTTCTGATCCATCCTCACAGTTGTTTCTCAATTGTTGCTGTGTTTAAGTCCATTGGTGCAGTCACTGTGTCAACCCCTTGATTACTATTGTTAGGTGCCTTCAAGTTGAGTACAACTCATGGTAACCCTATGAACAATGATCTGAACTCTGTTCTATCTTGTGTCATCTTGTCATTTCTGACATGCTTGAGGCCATTGCTGCAGTCGCTGTGTCAGTCTATATGGTTGAGGCTCTTCCTCACTTTTGCTGACCCTCCACCTTCCCAAGCATGATGTCCCTCTCCTAACAACATACGAAAAGTATGTGAGACAAAGCTTTATCATCTTTGCCTCTAACGAGCACTCTAGTTGTACTTTCCCCTAAGACATATCTGTTTGTTCTCTTGGTCGTCCATGGGTTTTTCAGTGTTCGTCTCCAACATAATTTTTTTTTCTGTCATCCTTATTCACTGTCCAGCTCTCAGATGCATAACAAGTGATTGAAAAGACTATGGCCTGAGTCAGTCACACTTTAGTCCTCAAACTTATATGATTTCTTGCCAATTTGGAAAAATCCCAAAGTGCCGACTTTCCCAATGCAATACGTCTTTTGGTTTCTTGTCTGCTGATACCAAGGGTGTTGATTGTGGATCTGAGTAAGATGAAGTAGTTGAAAATGTCAATCTTTTCTCCATCACGATGTTGCCTATCAGTCCAGTAGTGAGTATTTTGGTTTTCTTGATCTTCACATGTAACCCCTATTGAAGGCTATAGTCTTTGCTCTTCTGCAGAAAGGGCTTCAAGTCCTCACTTTCACCAAGCAAGGTTGTGTCATCTGCATAATGTAGATTGTTGGTGAGTCTCCAATCCTGGTGCTACATTCTTTTTCACAGAGTCCAGTTATTTGAATGATTTGCTCAGCATACAGATTGACTAGGTATGGAGAGAGAATACAACCCTGACACACACCCTTTCTTAATTTTAAAACTTGTAGTGTTCCTTGTTCTCTTGGCCTACGTATAGGTTTCACATGAACACAATTAAGTGCTCTGGAGTTTCCATTCTTATCAATGTTAGCCATAACTTGTTTAGATCCACACAGCCAAATGCCTTTGCATAGTCAATAAAGCAAAAATAGATACTCTTCTGGTATTCTTTGCTTTCAGCCAGCATCTATCCATAACCAGCAATGATATCCCTGGTACCATAACCTCTTCTAAACCTAGTTTGAACTCTGGCACTTCTCTCTTTATGTAGATTCTAGCGGGGTTTTTTTATGATCTTCAATGATATTGATTGATAATTTCCACATTCTTTTGGATTACCTTTCTTGAGAATAGGAACAAATACAGATCTCTTTCAGTCAGTTGACAAGGCCACAGTCCTCCAAATTTCCTGTCTGGTGAGCATGTGCAGGAGTGCGTTTATTAGTCAAAATGTATCAACACAGATTCTTGGGGCCTTATTTTTTGTCAATACTTTCAGTGCAGCTTGAACTTCTTTTTTCATTACCATTGGCTCTGGATTGTACTTCCTGAAATATTTCAGTGTTGTCCAATTCATTTTAGTAGCGTGATTCTGTGTATTCCCTCCACTTTCTTTTAATGCTTCCTGTATCATTCAAGATTTTGTCCATAGTATTTCTTTTTTTGTTTTTAATAAGTTTTTATTTTATGCTGGTTTGCTTACAAAGTTTATATACTTCTTTCCCCCCCTCCCACTCCCTGCACTGGATCCTTTACCCACGCTTCCCTCTACCCATCAAATTGTGTAAACTTATGATTACCGCCCTGCCCATATTCTCACCCCTCTGCTCCTACCCTCTCCCCTTTGGATCCTCATACCCATTTTAATAGTTATCTTTCTATTTCTATAATAATTGTCTTATACAGTATTTGTCTTTATGGAGCTGAGTTAGTTCACTTAGCATAATGCTCTCTAGTCCCTCCAAAATTCTGTAGTAATTTTCAAAATCATTGCTCCTGTGTTCTGTGTAGTATTCCATCATGTGATTCTACCACAATTTCTCAATTCATTTGATTGTGGTTGGACATTTGGGTTGTTTCCAGGTTCTTGCGATAGTGAATAACGCTGCTATGAACATTGGTTTACAAATCTCCATTTGTGTCTCATTTCTAATTTTCTTGGAGTATATTCCAAACAGTGGAATAGCTGGGTCATAATGGAATTTCTATGTTCAGCTTTTTGAGCAAACACTAAGCTGCTTTCCAGAGTAGTTGTACCATTTTACAATCCTATCAACAATATATAAAAGTTCCTATCTCTTCACATCCTCTCTGACATTTATTACTTGCTGGCCTGTTAAATTTTGCT